CACCTCCACCGGTGTCACCTTCCGGGCAAGCACCGCCCACTGCAATGCGGTGCTTGTCATAGAGCAATCGTTTGTCCTTGACGCTCCTTGATCGGCTTGAAGTCCAGTGTGATTAAGTTTAAGATACACCATTGGCAATGTAGTTTACTAGTTGAATTGAGGAATGAGATGACAGAAAGCTAACGCTAAGCAGCAGTTTCCAGCACTTCTTGTCATCGAAGCTCGGCATGACGACACCATAAATGGTGTCACCACGGTTGGATCCTGGATAGTGGCACCTGTTGACAAGCATACTGGTAACATACTGGATCAAAAAGAACAGCACAAACTCTTCCATGTCAAGCCTGCTCTTTCTGATCACTTTGCAGCTGGTCGGGGCCATGAGCATGTAGATATTCTCGCACTGTTTCACAAGTGAAACCACACCTTTCACCCTCTCCTGAGACATGATTTGTGAAAAATGGGCTTGGTGAAAAAGTGTGACAACACCCATGACTCAGGAAGTAAGTTGTGAGGCGTTAAAAATATGGTCAAGGATCCTTTCTTTTCATCAGTGATGCCTCATCATACACCACTGTGAGAATCCTTTCAGTCTTTTGTATTGGCTGGTCATCGCGTCGAAGATTGATCAACTGGCTCCGGTTGCCAGAAAAACCAGTGGATGTAATGAACCTAATGGCTTAGCTGAAAAAACATGTGGACCCTTCCTTGTCGCCCTCCATCATTCATGAAGAATACATCGGATTCATTCCATGTCGGTGCACCATCTGCATTTTCAGCACACCGGGTTCGTGTTGGTTGTTAGGAGGTCATTTTGCATAATATAAGTGCCCTGCAAAAATGGTGAATGAGCCAGGGAACACGATGGCATTGAGCAACTTGTTCAGCCTATTGTCCTTCAGAGGCGGAGGCCGCAGGTGAGGAGAGGAAGCAGCTTCTGAGCACTTCTTGCTGTCGAAGAAGTGTCCCAGCAAAGATGTACTGTATGCTTCCTCTCCTGAGTGATGGACCTTCCTTGGTTGAAAAAAAGCTGTGGTGAACATCATTGATGACTGGCATTTCTAAAACGGGCTCCCTTTTTTTTGACCCGCGCCCTTTTTTTTCTGACCACCCCTTTTTTTCTGACCCACAACCCTTCTTTTCTGACCCACAACCCTTTCTTTTCTGACCCACAACCCTTCTTTTCTGACCCACAACCCTTCTT